GAGAAGAAGGAAAAGCCATGTTCAGAGTACTGAACCACTTTGAGAAATGGGGACATTCCCAGGGTGTTTGTATGCTCTTGTCCCTTTGGAGAGCAATAATGACTTCAGCTCTTTTGTCTAACACTACATTTAACAGTCAGCTACTTATGTAACATTGCGATCTGCAGAAAGGCCAGATACTCTGTAATATCATTCAGGGATCAGTACTAGCTTTCTCATGCCATTCCCCTGCTTATTTTTAGGGAAAATGATAACTATTGTGATAAAACAGAGTTAGTAGGATATTTTGTCCTTTTACAGAAAAAAAAAAAATAATTGTGCCAACTAGGAAAACTTCATATTGCCCAACTTTTATGGTAAGTAAAAATTAGAAGTCACATGTACAATTTAATAAAGCATAAATTTTGAAGGCATATAGCCTTAACTTTAAATCCCAGCTTTATCATTTACTGAGTGACATTGAATGACTTCCTTGTCCTTTCTGAGACTAAAGATTGTCATATGTCAACAAGAAAAATAGGTCCTGTGAAGTGAAAGCTTTTCACAATCCATGGCAGTTCTTTCTAGCCACTCACCAGGCAAATAGAGCACACACCAAAACGAATGACCTGTGCTGGTTTTCCCGCCCTTAAGAAGGGAAATTAACAGTTGGAAGACAAAAGGTATGACACAAGGTAAAAATTAAACATTGAAAGTGTTTTACTTCCAGGACTAAACTTAAACTTTCAGAAGAGCAATGTGTCTCATTCATCACTAAATTTTCCAGATAACATTTCACATATTAAATACTCAGTAGACATGCTGTTGAATCCTTTGTACATAAGCCTTTAATTGAAATAAACTTAGACAGAATGTATTAGTTTGTTTTAATCAGAGCAATTTTACTATATTTTTAATGGCTTCCAAAAGCAGATAATAGAAAAATAACGAGGACGTGATCATTAGTGCTGAGAATCTACTTTGTGTTCTTTGCTTATGTTCTAGGGCTCAGCTGGTTGTCAGAATACCAATCATAGTGTTAGGTCTTTGGATGTACTTGTGAGTCCATCACAATTCAAATTTATTTGCACTTTGGTGTTTGAATAATTCATTTCTTTGTCTCCATATTGGTCACTGGAGAAGAATTTCTTTTACTTATATTTTCCCCATTTTCTTCTCCTTCAGTTTTACCTGAAAAAAAATTTTTTTAATGTAAATCAAATGTACCTAACAGCATCATTCATGGGATTATTCTCTGTAACTCTGGGATCAGTATTAGATCTGTTAAATTTCACTTCTTTTTGACTCACTACTTGGGAGTGTACAAACCAAGTCTGTCCCAACTCCAAAAAGAAAATAAATAAAATTAATTTACCCTTTCAATTAAAATGAAATATATTTTCAGATGCTCTTCAAATTATAGGTAATTTCTTTAGATATGGTCATTGTGTACAACATACACTGTGATAGCCCACTTTTACTTCTGTCTCCACAAGTTTAAATTTCTCACCTTATTCCATCTCTATATGTGCTTTTGGACTCATAAAGACATCCAGTTTCTTTGTTCCTACAGCCTTATCCCTGTCCTGCCCCTTTTTCTGCTCTTTCCAGTTTGGATCTCGAGCTAGACTTCACACTTCTCTCAATTCTCTGGTACCCACAACATATTCAGTGAAACAACAGTAATGGTGCTTTTATCTACTTTTCCCCTACTGTTCTCAGATGATATAAACCAGAGAGAATTACAAAACTCTGCAAGTTGGAATCATGGAAAATCATGTTTCCTAACCTGAGCCACATTTTAAAACCCTCATCTTTTACCTCCAAGTAGCTACTCAATACCATGTTCCCTCATTTTTAGCAGATACCTTTGCTTCGCCTCATCAAGAAAACTGAGGCTATCAGGCATGAACTCTGTCCTCTGTAAACATGTATATCCATCCTTAATATTGTCTCCTTTATCTTATCCTGGAACAGGGGCTTAGTGGCTTAAGTGCAAGGCTATTATCTCAACCTATCCTATTAACCCCTTTCTGTCTGCTTCTTTCAGGAACATCCTCTAAGCCAGGGGTGTCCAAACTTTTGGCATCTATGGGCCACACTGGAAAAAGAGTTGTCTTGGGCCACACATTAAATACAGAAACACTGATGAAAACAAGCAAAAAAAATCTCATCATGATTTGAGGAAATTTATGATTTTGTGCTGGTCCGCATTCATAGCCACCCCGGGCCGGGTTAGATGCCCCTGCCCCACTCTTCCTCGTGTCTTAAATGCCTCCCTCTCCCTACCAGCTACTTCTGTTCTGCTTTACCTTTTTAAGTATAATGCAAGTCCTTTTCATCCAAATACATCAAAATATTTTCTTTTATCCCCTATTTACTCCTCAAATCACTAAAATATACTTGGTGCTTTCAATTCATCTATGGAAAGTGTTAGCGTCAAGGCTCCAATGACCTACTTATATCAGACCTAGTAGATAACTTTCAGGTTCTGTCTTCCTGGATCCCTCTGCCACATTCAAAAGTGTCAATCCTTTTTAAAATTATTATTCTTTTGGTATCTAAGATCCATGAACTTTTCAGTGTCTTCTCGTAAACTTTTAGTTCTTAGTCTCTCCAGATAGGGAACGTTCTCTCCTCAATGCCCCTGCTGTGCATAGGTCATTGTATTCACTCTCGTGGATTCACTTGTACCTTGTGATAAGGATTTATGCTCCTAAACTTCTGATCCATTTGTCTTCCTGGAGCTTAAGCTTATTCAACTGTCTGCTTTACTTTTTGCATATTCCGTAGATATTTCAAACTCAGGATTCTAAGATGGAACTCATCTCTCCTTTCATTTTAAACCAGATCTTCCAACTGTATTTACTGATTTAGTTAGTGAAGTCACCAGCCACCCCATCCAAGAAAGCTGGAAACTTGAAGTCATCCTTAACTCTTCCTTCTCCCTGCATTAACAACATACACAATATTTGATTTAGTCTTTTCCCTAATAATTGAATTAATCCCTATCTTTGCATCCCCATGTCTGCTATCATCCTATTGTCTTACTGGGACTGGTGCACTAGCTTCTTAAATAACCATTTTACCTGTGAACTGCTTTGCTCTAAATCCTTCCTTCACACAACTTTCGGATGTATCAATATAAAACATATCCTGACTGTGTACTTCAAATTATTTAATACTGTAGATGTGGATATACTAACTCACATATGTGATAAAGAATTTTGTAGAACTAAATACACACAACACTAACACACTCATTTCTATGTTTGTTTGTGTTTTGTGTGTACTTAGTTCTATAAAATAAAGTAAGAATTTCTGAATAAGTTCAGTGGATTGTATCAATGTGAATATCCTGGTTTTGGTATTACATGGTAGTTTTGCAAGATATTAATTACCATTGGGGAAACTGGACAAAGGGTACTTGTACTCACTCTGTATTATTTATTATAACTGCATGTGAATCTACAATAGTCTTAAAATGAAAAGTTTATTTTAAAATACCTTGCAAAAGTATTCTTCAATACTCATTAGAAGTATTGAAGTATTTTAGCTTTTATTTTAACATAGTATACAAGTTTCTACTTACTTTTTCAACTTTACCTACCAACATTCTCCACCCTGAATTTTTGCATTCTATTAACATGAAGTTGCATCTACTTTTCTTATATACATCAAGTTATTTTCCATTTTAGTATTTTGTTTATGTGATTGCCATAGGCTGATCACTCATGTCATTAGTCCTTACTTGCCCTCGCTAATTTCTTATCATTACAGGCTCTTTCCTTGACCTCTTAAATGAGATGGTATTTCTTCTTTTTTATAATGTTATACACAGTCTTACCACATTTATCAGAGATTTGTTTTCCTGTCTTACATGTTACACTATGACCTTCTAGAGAACGAGAGCATCTTATTCACTTTTTATTTCCAATGCCTATTGTATTCTCTGGCAAATAATAGATGTTCTATGTACATGTTTGACTTGAGTAAATGAAAGTGCTTCTCCTGATAGCTTTGAAATCAACAATAAATTCAATGCTGTTATCTTCTATTATGTAACTAGACCAGAGCATTCATTTGCAAATTTAAAATGATTGACTATTCTAATACATTATTTAACTCTTTGTAACAATAGAAATAATGTTTAACAGCTTAGCTAATTTCATCCTGGAATAAAATTAGTCTACCGATAATGATAATGACCTACATATTAAGATGATCTATGCAGATAACAGGCAGATTTGGAAAAAGCCTGACTTGAGAAAGCTGATATTTTCCTTCCCATATTAGGGATCAAGGTTAATTTTTTCAACATAAAGGCAAACTTGAAGATCCAGCAACCAAATAAAGCAAACAGAAATAGGATTCATTTGCAACATATTCAGATGTTTGCTTATCCTTTAGTCTAACTAGAATTCCACTCTCCAATTAAAAACCACCCACACACACATCAAAGTAGGTAACTAGTGATTAAGAAAAAAAAGTCTAGGTCCAGAAACTTGAGTTTATTGTCCTTGGGCATGATGCTAAGATGGTAGTTATGAGAGAACTGATTATGCCGAGGGTGAAATTTAAGTTTCTGAACTTGCTTCTGTTTTCTGATTTTACTTTTTACTTGCTGGAGGCTGAATGAGCAGATAATCAGTTAAGACATTTATAAAATGAGTTTAATAATAGGTCAGACTTGCTGTCAGACCTAATGAGGGAATGTTTATTTTCTTTTTGAAATGTGCCGAACATAGATGTTGGATAGCAGAAGTGTAAGCTGTAGCAACATTATTAGTTAAGGAGAAGAGCTTTGATTGAAGACACCATTGCTTGATTTTATTGCAAAATGAGATCCATGATACTACCTGAAGAAATGCAATTTTGTAACTTGTAAAATTTACTATATATGCTTGCATGATTTTGAAGATTCAGTTAATTTTCTTCTTCATCAAGTATGATTTAATTTAAATATTTTGTATTTATAAATACAGAAACTATGACCCTAGTTTCATTTTTGTCCTTTTAAGGTTTGTAGAAACTCCAGCTCATTTCTCTTGGAAAGAAAGTTATTACAGATCCACCATGTCCCAGAGCACACAGACAAGTGAATTCCTCAGTCCAGAGGTTTTCCAGCATATCTGGGATTTTCTGGAACAGTAAGTAATAAATCAGCAAAAAAATTTATATTTTAACTGGTATAATTAGGTAAATATGAATGGGCAAAGTATTGTATTAGTTGGGCATATTTCTGGAATCAATAAAAATCAGTTAATATTGTTGGGAAAATTTTACTTCTCCAGTAGTCTCTGTGTTCAAAATATAGTGGAGATTTATTCATTTTTCTGCACCAAAAGATCATTATTATTCCAAGGTAGTATAGTTTAGGAAGATCAGAGGGTTTCTACTACCCAACCCAAAATAACTTCCCCAACAATTCCCTGACACTCAAAGTCTGTCCCTTTGGCATAAAGACTCATTTACTCTTAAAATGGAAATACACCACTGAGGCAGTAAAGCACTAAATTTTCTTGGTCATCTATGCCTTCCTAAGAGAAGGATTGTTATCTTCTTTCTGAAGATCTGGATTGGATAAATGAAAAAATTAAAGGGAAAGTGAAAAATATCTGAGCACTTGGGACCCTGAGAGAGCAATAAAATAATCTATCCCTGATACACTTGTTCCTTCCTGTGTTCCACCCAATAATTCTTTGATGGGAGCAGGGTTCATAATTCCTATTTTACAAATAGGGCTTAGATTTGCACTGTCTTTGATTACACAATTGGTAAGTGGTTAAGGCAAGATTCAAATCTAGGGTTTCTGACAGCAACCACTGAGCCTGGCCACCTTTGAGACAGAAAGAGCTAAATGATTACCAACTAGTGAGTGTGTTTTAGTCCTTTTCCAAGCTTAACACGCTTTTTTGTTTGTTTTTTTTCTTTATGGTAGGCCCATATGTTCAGTTCAGCCCATTGACTTGAACTTTGTAGATGAACCATCAGAAAATGGAGCAACAAACAAGATTGAGATCAGCATGGACTGTATCCGCATGCAAGACTCAGACCTGAGCGATCCCATGTGGGTGAGTGGCATGGGCCTCTCTAATGTGTGAGCCATGCTAACCTCTGTTACACCTGTCTTTTACATGGCATATGAAAATGCATGTGGCTCTGAATAGGCAAGGCCATTGGAAAGTGGGTCATTTAGGTTAGCAGAGAGAAATTTGGGAGCTGATAGATTCTGCATCTTCCTCGACTCTCCATAACACGTGCTTCCACTGATGTGTGAGGAAGGCTTGGCAATGATTTCTTACATCCTTTATTTGAATTGGCTCTTCATGTCTATTTTGATTTAGAGGGCATGGTACCAACCCAAGGTTTTACTAGTGGAGACAGAACCAGAATCGAGATCTTAATTCTATCCGAAGCACTTTCTACAATACTATGGCAGACTGCCTCTCTCGTGCAACTATCCTTCTTTAGTGAAGGAGCTCTGAGAACACACATTTCATTACCTAACCATAGGACAGGAAGAAAGAAGATAACAAATGCATATGATAGGCTTTCTTTGGATTTACTGCTGACTCACTTATTACCTTAGGCCTCAGTTTCTCATCTATAAAATGATGAAACCTTATATGCCCTGTATCTCCCAGACAGCAGAGGAGCATAATGGGTTAATGATAGTAAAACACTTTTCTGAGATGTTTAGATAAAATTTCTTGTATTTGTGCAGTCCATAATGCTGGGAAGCTCTCTCTCTTTCTCTGTCCCTCTCTCTCTCTTTTTACTTTTTTAAAAAATATTTTACCACACAAGTCCTGCTTTTCTATAAAAATGATAAACAAAAACCAAAAAAAAAGACTTCTAGAAAAAAAAGAACTAGAAAAAGTGGATGTCTGTGCTTGAACAACAGTAAAAAAATAAAAATAAAATATCAAAATAAAAAAGAAAAACTTAGTTTAGATTAAAAAAATGACAAAAACAAAAAAAAGTGTGGGGTGTTATAGAGTATCCACAGATGTGATTAAAGAGGGCGCTTTATAATATGCCTTTTTTGGAGGGGAGGTTCAAATGACTTTATTTTAAGAAATGGTACAAATGAAAGAACGTAAGGAGATGTTCTGGTATGCATTGGCTTTCCTGTCTAATATAAGATTTTACAAGAATTTTCACAATATACTTTTTGCTATGAGTTGTACTTTTTATTATTGGGAGAAGCTGAAGTGAGAAAATAGGATAGGAAACAACCAAAAATAGAAAGTTGTAACTTTGCAAATATACTGGTACTTTGTTACTATATTAATAAGAAAAAATGATTATCCTTCTTTGGCTCCTTCCATTTTATTATGAATACAATCCTTAGCTGTCCTTGAGCTACTGAAGAGAAATGGACAGATAAATCCAAGGAGCGGGTCATTCAAGGCTTTGGAATACATTATTATTAAATATAAATATGTATAAATTCTGATTTGACAGTGACTTAGAAATATCCTCAATTTACTAAATAATATTGTCTCAAATTAATAGGGAGCACTTGCCTAGGCAAACTTACCTTTTTATAGTCTCTCCAGAGATTTTCTATTCTGACTCTTGGACTCATAAAAACAAGCAAAAGTTGTAAAGTTTAAAACTGAGAATCAAGACTTTTCATTTAAAGTTCCTATTATATTTTGCAATATTCAGGTACATTTTTATCATGCCATGGTATTTCTTGCTTCTTTGGTTTTATTGAGATTTTCTCCTTGAGAACATCCCTTGTTTTCCTCCTCTCTGACCAATTTCTATCCATCCCTCAACACCCAGTTTTCCCTACCTTCTCTGGGAAGATTTTTGTATCACTATTATCTGCTGGTCTGAATTAGAGACCGTTCCTCTGAAGCAACGGAGATATATTTGTAGGCGTGTTACTTATTATACAACATTACAGTTGTTTATTTCTTTGTCTCTAAAGGATACAGGGACCATATTCTGTCCTGCCCAGTATTTGTTTCATGTAAACACTCAGAAATTTTTTAGTTAAGAAAAAAAATGAGACTTGAAAGTTACCTGAGAAATCAAAACTTCTCTTTCAAACAGCTCTCTTCAAAAGGACTTTCTTCCTCCAAAGTACGGTATTGAAGGGCAACTTTAGATCCATTTCTTCTTGGGTACCTCCTTTTCTATGTATTTTAGGGATCTATATGGGAAACCTTCCCCCTTCCCCCATGGGATAATAGTGTGATACAGAGCCTCCATATGTTTCCTTCCCCTGAAGAGACACCATTGCTAATTAGGAACAATGAAACAGAGTTTGGCCATCATTTATTAGCAGTTTTGAGCTTGAAATTGTTTACCATATTAAATTGAGGGTAACAAGAAATTAGGAAATAAGACCCAGGATGGGAAATTTGAAAGAAGTTAAATATTGACGTGACTAAGAAAAACCTGGAAAACAAAAGGATATCGGATTTTGTCAGTAGAAGGAACAAAGTAGATTACTTGGAAACAACTCTATTAAAATAAATATACTAATGAAATAAGGATGAACTTAATTAATTTTTAAAAAATTGCCATCTGAGGCTGCCTTATTTTTGTTTCCAAAGAACTGAAACATTGCTAATAAGTCATAGTTCCGTATGAATCCTGGGTCTAACTTGGTCTTATGACTACTTCAGTATCCTTACATATGTCCATGTGTGAAGGCCACATAGGCAGGACTAGACAGTAACAATAGTTCCAAACAACAGAAGTGGAAAAATGGTGGACTTGCTCAGATGTTGTAACTTGTGTCCTGGTTTGGAGGGTAAGAGCTAGGATCCTCTGAGATTCCTAGTCTTTCTAAAGTGACAGCTGCTGTAACTGGTGTGGGGCTCTTTTGTTCTACTCCTTAGTAGCATGTTTTTCACTTTTCTGTGTATTGGTTAATGGCTATATAGTTCCAAAACTCTGCCCATAAATTCCTTTCCTTCTGAATATACTATAAAAAATTGGGATCTCAGCCAAGCATTGTTTTACTATGCAAGAAATATGAGTCTGTAGACATGAAACAACAAGTCATATTAAGGACAGAAATCTTGAAATTGAGAATGTCACCCCATTTTTATCAATTTGCGATATACCTTCACTTTAACACCCAGTCGTGAAATGGGATCATAATGTGTTGTTTTGCTTAACAAAGGAAATTTTGAAATGTAGAGAATGCGTGTGCCTTCTTCATTAGAAGGATTGTAATGTCACTGAAGAATGTGCTGCATTGGATTAGCAAGGTCCTTATTGGCATTTGATTCTGTTGTCTGATATGTGACTTTACATCTCAACTTTACATTATTTGTGAACTGTCTAATCATGTCTATCATGTTTTCAAGAGGTGGATAACGATGTTAATACCTGAATGTTCTCTTGAAATGATTTCTGGAAACTACATATTTCTTAATTTTGCATTTGTTTATTCATTGTACTTAGAAAGAAGCCCTGTTTAGCTGAATTAAATTTTTCCATAGAGATCTGAGTGGTAATTACCTGACCTATCCATTGTTGTAAATTCTTACTGTACCAGCCAAGATATACATGAAGACTCTTCAGCTCTACATGTCATAAGAGCAGGTAGTGTGTTTGTATTTGGAAAGGCTTATGCCATAGCATCTAGCATAATGCCTTACATTTTATATGACCCAAGATTCATATAAGATTTCATTTTTTATTTATTTCTTATTTTTTAAAAGATTTTATTTTTAGAGAGAAGGGAAGAGAGGGAAAGAGAAAAACATCAATGTGTGAGAGATATGTCACAACTGGTTGCCTCTCCCACACCCCCAACTGGGGTCCTGGCCCACAGACCAGGCATGTGCCCTGACTGGGAATCAAACTGGCAACCTTTTGGTTCTCAGGCTGGCGTTCAGTCCACTGAGCCACACCGGCCAGGGCCAAAATTTCATTTTTATATGCTATGTTCCATCTTCTTGTGTTCTTGATCCTTTTATGGTTATATAATATTTATTTTTATCCCTAGTAATTTATTTTGCTCTAAGGTTCATTATCTTTGTTTAAATTAGCATAACTGATCTCACTTTATTTTGATTAATGTTTGCATGGTAAATATTTATCCTTTTCCTTTTAACCTATTTTTATTATTACATTCAAAGTGTGTATCTTCTAGATAACATATGATTGAATTGTTTTTAATCCATTTTGACAATCTCTGTCTATTAATTGGTATAGTTACATCATTTATAGTTAATGTAATTATTGATATTTTTCAATCATTTATTTTTTGTTTGTTTCCATCTTTGCTTTTCTGTTTCCCTGTTAAGCTGTTTTGTGTAGATTATTTGACCTGTTTTTAGTATTTGATTTTATTTGTTCTATTTTGGCTTTGGTTATCTCTCTTTGTATATTTTTAGTGGTTGCTCTAAGGATTCTTAAATATTCATAATTTTTTACAGTATATTGATAGTCAATGATTTACTGCTTCAAATGGATTGTAGAAAAGTGACTACAATATTGGTTTTATAACCCTCACCCCGATGTTGTACTTGTCATATATATATTATGTCTACACACATTGAATACTTCATTAGGCAGTGTTATAATCGTTACTTCCAACTGTCAAATATATTTTAAAGAACTCAGAGAATAGTCTATTTTATTGAACAGAATATTTATTATTGATGTTGCCCTTCCTTTGTACCAAAGTCACAGTTCTCATTAGATATTATCAGGAAGAATACAAAATTCCATGCATATTTTCATTTATTAGAATGACTTTTTTTAAGAAATAAAAAACTGAATTTTCTAAGCAACATCGTCAATCATGTCGAAGCACTCAATTGCTAAATTTTTAATTGATCAAAAGTTTATAAATATTCTCTCCATAGCTCTTTAGCTCTTTATCTTATTCACCCTCCCTGCCTACACACACACACACACACAACCACATACACGTTTACTCACATATAACTCAGTTTGAACCATACCTATAGCTATTTGCAAATACTATAGAAAAGCATCATAATAGTTGTTGGTATGCCAAGTGTTTTAAGCCTTCGTTTGATAAATTCCATTATATATGTGTGTGTGTGTGTGTGTGTGTGTATATGTATAT